TGGAAAATCAATGCTGAGCGCAAAATGAAAAGGTTACTATGCTCACTTAAACAGTGCCACCCTTAGTCCCAAGATCTACAAACTCACTCCTGGATAACTTCTAGGCCTGACCCACCCACCCTCCCCTCCCCTCCCCAACCAATCTTTTTTCAGGCTTGGGCTTGGGCCTGATCTTGACCCCCTGGCCTTACTCAGCGATTGTGCTCAGTGGCTTGCCAACATGGCTGCTAATCCCTCCAATGATCTGCTCCCAGCAACTTTGTTTTTGTTCCCTCCAATGATCTGTTCTGACTGACCTCCTAATACCCACTTCCTCCCCAAAAAGAAATTTGTGATCTTGCCATTTCTCCTCCAGATTGCCTCAAACTGGTTCAATCACTCACTTAGACATTAGCACAAAAACCTGTGCATGTTCCTATTACTGCACCTTTCATGTGACAGCAGGGTCCAAGGCCCAAAGTCCCAAGTTTCTTAGGCTTCCCCATTTGAGTGCAGACTTCTCAGAAAGCCAAAAATAGACACTGCTCAATTTGTTAGCCAAAAATTAGTTTAATTGTAGAGAGTATTAATATTATATTTCAATGGTAGGAAAAACAATCTGCCAGAAAGTTTGTAGAAGACTAGACCATAATAACATAATTACAATTTTTTTTATCTCAATTACTTGCACACTTGTGCCTTGTAGTTAATTTTGGTGACTATTAGTTAATGAACGATTAATGCATTCAAATGTTAGTTAAATTCAATTTTGGGAGAAAATCCTTTAAAATAAATAGATCATTGCTTCTTAAAATACTGTTAACATTTTCTTAATTATCCTTCCAGCCTTTGTGCTTAAAGAGTCAAATTACATGGTTTTGTTTGGCCAGAGAAAGATACTATCACTTTAAAGTACAAAAAAAGGCACAGGTAAGGCATTTGAAAATTAACCAACCCAAGAAATTCAATTATAATAATTTTTAACAAAATAAAATTCAGTTGAAGAAAATTTACCAAAATTTGTAGACATTTTCAAAGGCATATATAATTAAGCTATATAAGATCAGAAAATGTTTTACATTAAAAAGTTCCTTGAAAACAAATGTAACAATCAGAAATAACATCTGGAAGTTTAAAGTGACAGCTACTGCATTCATGCCTCCCTGTGAAAAACAGCCTTAACTGTTGCAAAAATGTCTCAGAAATTGTACTCATCCAATCCAACACGAGACAATATATAGTATGGCTTCTACAGAAAACAATGGTCCACCTCTAGAACTTTTTGAACTCAGCAACGTACATCCCTTTCATGGATCTGTTATCAGATTTTACGACTGCCATTTTAAAAAAAAGATGCTCTCAGGTCTTAACTTTGTTGTAAATTTTCTTGTCTTAACTTTGGAATTTTTTTTGTAATAGTAATCAAGTAGGTATGAATTGAGCTTGAGAAAGACTAAGCATTTCACAGTCTTTGACAATGGAAAAATAGTGGCATTTGAAAGTGTCAGTCTTCTAGCAGAATCAGCAAATTGAATCAAATTAGTGAGTAACTGGGCTGCACGTATCTGAGAGACACCTAAATGTGTTGATTTAGATTCAGTATGTTTCAATATTTCTATAGATTAGAAAATGTCTATAGTTCAATGTGAGGGTTTCTTCTGACACAGTCACAGTGCCCCCATCTCTGGGTCAAGAAGCCTGGGTTCAAGTCCCACCTAATCCAGAGGTATGTCTTAGCATGTCTGGATAGGTTGATTTTAAAATATATATAGTTTGATATTCCTTATCCTTTAACTGCAATCAAATTGAAACTCAGCAATATTTCAGGTCATCACGACAATGCAAAATACAGATAATCAAAACAGTACAAAAGAAACACTTACTTTGCACTACATTGCTCAACCTTAAATCTTTTTCTCGTTAGCATTACATGTTAAATTGAAATTTAAGATTCAAGCAAGTGGTGATGATTACCAGTTTGCAATGTTTTAGTTCTCACCCAGTTTACAGTGTGCCCAGTTGTCTGAATTCACTATGGAACACCACTTACCATGTATTGCACTTCAAAAGGTATGATTATAATAACTAGAATACAACTGGGTAATATAGTTTTGTTTTCTGTCAATGGTACAAATGTGTAGAAGCAAGAAATATATCCTTAGGTAGATCATTACTCAAGAGTAGGCACAGGGAGTACAAGTAACAGACATCATATTGACTTGCATTGCAAATGAAGATAAGTTTTGCCTCTAACTGCCCATATAAATGCAACTGTTCCACATTTAATCCATTGCAACATAAGCTGGAGACACGTGCAGTCACTAGTTGAAATGTCTGACATGTGGTTGTTATACTTTGCTGGTTGCCACCCAGAGGCTTTTAAGGTTTCTTCAAAACTGGAAAAATGTAGCAACAGACAATAACACATGTGCTTTTTCCAGTGATACTCTGTCCCTCTTGATACAGTTTATTACTACACTATATATATATCCACTAATTCAAGTTGATCAACGTTATGTTGGACAAAGTAAGAATCCTGAGAAAGAGGAATGGATGTATTCAGTAGAATATAATCCATTGGCTTGGTCTGAAGGCATCTGGACCCATACTTGGTCATTTTCTTTAAGTTCCAGTACAGCACTTCCCGATGCTTGGTCAAGATATCCTTTCTTATATTCATCATATGTGTATGTTGCAGGCACATTATTCTTATACAGTGCTACCCATATATTGGTTCCCTTGACATGCACATGATAAGCAAAATAGTAAACACCTGGTATTTGACACACGAACACTCCAGTTGCTGGATTATATCCACTTTGTCCATTGTATAAAATCCTATCGAACTTAATGGGTGCCCCTGATGGTGGAAATGGCTTTGTCAAAATTGCTGTGAAGGCAGGAGCTACTTTTGCAGAGATTTCTCCCATTCCATACTCTGGTTTTCCATTCCCTGGTATTTTCACACCGTCCACAGGTCCATCTACCTGAAGGCCGGATACACCTGTTAATTCCCCGTTAATGAGGAGTCCCGGTGGGCCTGGTGGACCAGGTGGCCCTGGAGGACCTTGGGCTCCCTTCATGCCTTGTATTCCAGGACTTCCAGGCCGACCTATTGGTCCTGTCATTCCCGGTTCACCTACTGTGCCTTCTCCTGGCAAACCTGGTGGTCCTAGTTCTCCTTTGGGACCTGGTAAACCTGTAGGTCCTATTGGACCCGATGGCCCCTGAAGACCAGGTATTCCTGAAGAGCCCCTCGGTCCAGGTTGACCTACCTGCCCTGGTTCTCCTTTGGGTCCTATAGGACCAGCTATTCCTGGTGGTCCAGGGACCCCTGTATACCCAGCTTCACCTTTTTGACCAATTTTGCCTGGTGATCCTGGAGGTCCGTGCAAACCTCTCTCACCAGGCACACCTGGTTTCCCAGGTAACCCATTCTGTCCATGGTCACCTGGCATTCCTTTCAGACCTGGTGGCCCAATGATCCCAATGTCACCTTTGACACCTGGAATACCTGGTTTCCCCATGAATCCTTTAGGGCCCACAGGACCTGGAGGGCCTGGCTCTCCCTTAGCTCCAGGTTCACCGTGAAAGCCATTTAATCCTGGTTCACCATTGAGTCCTGGGGCACCTGGCTTTCCAGGAATGCCCCGCTCACCTTTAAGTCCATTTATTCCAGGCTTTGCATATGATGGTGCTCCAGGAAGACCACGAGCACCAGGTGGCCCAGCCTGCCCCTTTTGACCTCTAGATCCTGGAATTCCTGCTAACCCATCCTGACCTGGCTTTCCTATGCCATTCAATCCTGGCTTTCCCGCTGGCCCCTGAGGACCAGGTGGACCTGGAAGTCCTGGTTCACCTTGTTGTCCAGCTTCCCCTTTCTCACCAGGGCCACCAGGTAAACCATTAACTCCTGGCTTTCCTCTTCCAGGCTGGCCTGGAGGTCCAGGCTTACCTGGTGCCCCTTCCTTACCTCTCAGACCTGGAGCACCTGGTTTTCCATACCCATTTTCACCTTTGGGACCACGCTCCCCTGGAGGTCCACGTTCTCCCTTTAGACCTGGCTCTGCTCTAAGCCCTGGTGATCCATCTGCTCCTGGAGCTCCTGGCTTACCAATGACAGAGAAACCTGAAGGTCCAGGTAATCCTGGAGGCCCGGGAAGGCCTCTGGGTCCCATATCCCCTCTGGGTCCTAAGTCACCTTTAGGTCCTGGAATTCCTCTGATACCTGGTTTACCGGGTTGTCCTGGAATTCCTGGTTTTCCAATGCTTACAAGTCCTGGCACTCCAGGTGGTCCGGTCCGTCCTTGAAGACCCGGCTTTCCATTTCCTGGTTTTCCTGGAATTCCCGGCAATCCAGGAGGTCCTCTTGGCCCAGGTTTTCCTGGAGCACCTTTCTCACCCCTGAGGTCAGAGGGAAGAATCACTGGAATTTCTGTTTCAATTAAAAAAATGAAAAAGACATGTCAACTACTACAAGTTAACTTATAATGAAATATTGCTTTGTGGTTTTTGACTAAACAGATACTTTAACTTGTGACAATTTAGTAATGCTTTTAAAATATTTGTTTCTTATTTATTTTCAAGACAGTTTCAAAATGGACACTTGTAGTTTCATTTTCCACAAAGTAGCACTGGAAATTTCTAAATTCTAGCTTTGAAGTCTTCTGCAGTTCGCAACGGTTATAAAATTAAAACACTGTGGATGCTGAAAATTTAAAAAAAAAGAAATGCTGAAAATATTCAGCAGGTCAGACAGCATCTGTGGAGAGAGAAACAAAGTTGATTGGCTGAATTTTACAAGCCACCTGCAAGCAGAAACACAGGTGGGTATACTGTAAAAGCAATGTGCCCAACTTCCCAACCATTGACTCATCACAACTTTATCGATGAATAAACTGTGTTTGGGCAGCTTGCCCACAGTCCAAATAAGGCCATTAAGTGAGCAATTAAGCAATGGCCTTCTCCTTTCACCATTCAGATTTATTGGGAGTTAATGAGGTTTGGCAGTGTTATAGGATTTCTACCCAGGTAAATGTAAAGTCATGAGTTTATGGTTCAATGGTTGCTTTAATGGCTCAGACTAACGTAAACTTAGGCTGACAAATGGGAAAATGCTTTTGAAGAGGACAGAGCATTTACTTAAAGAAACAGCAATATTTTAAAATCGTTTAGTCTTGTAACTTGAAGTATGTAATAGACCTATCTATATTAACCTTCTTTGGTTATTTTGAGAAGTAATTTGTTTCAGGCATCAACAGTTATTGCAGAGTAACACTTGGTTTTTTTCATTAAGAGATATTGATAGGTTTTGGGGAATGGTTCTGAGGAAGGGTCACCGGACCTGAAACATTAACTGTTTTTTCGTTCACAGATGCTGCCAGACCTGCTGAGCTTTTCTAGCAACTTTGTTTTTATTCCAGATTTACAGCATCCACAATTCTTTCGTTTTTTTTAGTTAGATGTATCAGTTGGGAGATTTGCGATGATAGGTAATCACTGGACAGTGACACTACATACTTTAAGCAGATGCATACATGGTTTTTCTGGTATCATCTTGAGAATAATCTATATGGTTAGTAAGTTAAGAGGGACAAACTGTCATAAAGGGTGTGATCTTACAACGTGATCAGCATGTCAAAAAATGAATCAGTAGGAAGTGATGTCTGTGTGATGATTACTTTTCAAGAAACAAATCAGAATTGACCACATATTGTTTAGCCAACACGTGGTTAATAAGTGGTGATTCTTTGTAGTTCCTTATTGCAAAAAGAGATACCAAAGAAGAGAAAAAGAGACCTATGACCAATTGACCAGTGTCAAGAACTGATAACTTGGAGTGGATCAACTGAAATTCATCACTTTTATTAAGTATTATTCCTGTTGTACCCTACTTTTCATAATAAACTTAATAAATTCTATAAAGGTTGTAAAGACAAATCAAGATTAGTAAACTGAGTTCCCTCAACTCACATTAATTGTAATTGACTTAGATCTGAAAACGAAAGTAAAAGTGAACCTCAGAATCATGCACTGTGGACTGCTGGCCAGTGAGAGGTGGGGGAGGCCTCACTTCCAGGTCCCAGGTACCAATTTGAGGCACTTCTCCCAAGAGTAGCGTTACCCCAACCATGTCCACTGCCCCTCTCTCTTTCTCCTCCCTCATTCAACATGATCTCAACCCCACTCTCAGTCGTTGCCCCTCATTGGGTCTTGTTTTGAGCTGGGCATGCAAGCCTGAGGACCCAAAAGTAAGTGTTGAAGCGTAAACTTTTGTAAGAAGGTATTGTTCGATGGCATAATGGAGGTTTTCTTCTATGAGGTGGAAGATGATAAGACAGCAGTTGACTGGACCATATTTGTTCTGTATTTGCAGTTATATAATATTTGATCAGCTTTCCATATTATCAGGAACATGCTACTGTCAAAGCTGCAAACAAAGTATAAGAATAATCTAGAACATCTCTCCACCTAAAGACTCTGAATGCAGGATCAAAAGAAACTTGCAAGACCAAGATCAAAAGATTTTTGAGAGGTAGCATCATCAAGTGACATAAGATAAAGATGGACAAATAGCATTGAGGCACTGATCAGCCAAAAATTTAGTTGAATGGAGGAACAGGCTCAAGGAGCTGAATGGCTATCTTCTGCCATGTGTTCCTATGCTCTGGAATAACTTGGGTGGCAGCTGTTTCAGATATGTAGCACTAAAACTAGTACTTTATCAGATCAATCAACTTCACTGTATCCATTTTACTCTGCTATATCTTAATTGAATGTACAGTGAACTAAATTACATGGCATTTATGGTAGGTATGGCCTATGAATGAGACTGAGTAAAATTTTTGATTAAATTTATTTACAGATCATTTTCCCTGTGTTCATTTGCACACCTCCCTAGGACAGTACCTAATCCTGTTCCTATCAGTTGCTTTATTTTTCAGCACCCTTCTGAACTGGGCATGTTAGAGCTCAAGAACTTTCGTGTAATAAACTAAAGTGATGTGAAAAGAATAGTTCCTTTTGAAGTGAAAAACCAGAGACTACTCCCCAGTGTTGAGAACAATAGCATAGAGACAATGAAGAAAAAATAATGGGCGGGTAGGAATGAATGGGAACAAATTTCTTCATCTCCAAAAGATTATCAAGATAATTGTGCGTGCATTTTGTTTTACCAAGCTGCCTAAAAGTGCATCTTAACAGGATTCTGCAGTGTGTTTGATGGATAAAGTATTATGGAGAATGTGTAACCCTTTGCAACTGTTTACTGAAACATAAGATTTTTTTTAATAAGACATCCATCACTATGCAATATGCCTTCCTATAGCTAGGACAGGTACATTGATAAAATGGGACAAACACCAAGCATTGAGCCATTATGAAGTAGTTGGATGTTGAATTTTCAGACCCATAAGACCAATAATTTCTCGAACTGCCTGAGACAGATTTTGTTTTTTTGTCTTCCATCTGTCACTGTGCAGATTCAGTTTGTGTAAGAGTGTATTCATCAGTTGACGTGTACAGTCTTCCTTAGTCCCGCATTATTTTCTCCAGAATCACCCATCGTAGAAGTGTGGCCATGTCTCATCAGACACTGCTCAATTTCAACATTTTTCAAGGGCATTAAATGCTGGCTTAGCCCGCAACATCCATGTCCCATGAATGAATAAACAAAAATCAACTTAATTGGTTGGGATTGCATGCCAACCAATCTGGCACTTTCTTGTCTTGAGTTTATGATGTTGGTCCAGTGGGCTACCCATTGGGAATCTCTCTTGTTTAATTGGATAATGATGGGATTAAATTGAAGGATACCAGGTAAATTGGATTTCCCCCGCTTGACCAATACACCCCACCCGTTTACCTCCCAGGGTAGAGGCACACTCACCTGGCAAACGTCATGCAGAAATAGATTGTACCAGTGGCAACAGTTGCCAACAGTATTCTCAAATCACCCTTCTCTGTCCGCATAAAGACATTCTGCGATATTGACTTATGCAGAGGATACCTTACAACAGCATGGAACAAGTTCACAGGCCATTTCCTCATTGTCATCTTCTTTTACATGGCTTCAACTTCATCAGTAATTCAACTACATGGTGAGTTGGGCATTATTGTTGAGCTAACACTCAGAAAATCTATCCCTCTTGAAAATTACGTATTTTATGTATGTAATTGAGCAGAAATTGCTACCCATGATATGGGCCCAACTTACAAGAGGGCTCCGAACTGTCAGAAATTCAAGTTGTTACTCACATTCTAGGCACAGTAGTCTTCCTTAGTTATGCTATCAAAAATCTTCATAAGATTAATACTGAGACCAATCATTGATTGATCATGTGTTGCAAGAGTATAACCAAAAAGATTCCCAAAAGATCAAAGCAAGAGCCAGAAAAACTATAGGGCCAGTAGAATTCAAGTTACACTCTAAATCATCTGTTTAAAGTAATAGATAGTAGAAATAGAGACGAGACATTGGAATGTGTATCATATGGTAGCTATTTGTCATTAATAAATGGATATATATTAATGCACAAGAGAGATACAGCAATTCCTTAGCTGTTATTCTTATGTAAAAATTCCAGATGAATGACTGCCAGTTTGTGTAGCACCAAGACCACTTGACCTGTCCTCAAGTACTGGATTGTATTCTGTATGTTCAGCTTTACAGCATGTTTAAGGAGAAGTCAATATGCAAATATACCCAACCTACAATGTGTCAGACCATGATTAAAATATTAACTTCTAAACTGCATTTTCATTGTCATTTTGTTGCTTTATGAATTTTGATGTGGAATTTTAATTGGGAGTGTGTTGCATAAGCAAGTTGCTAGTCAGCAACTTTTCCCTTATATTCCTTCCATCCATTTTCTGCCTGTTTCACAGAAAAGGTGAGGCTGGTAGGTGGATGTAGGAATCTCGGCAGCATAAGGCTGCCAGCTGATCTAAAAAAAGGTTAATGGTAATAAGGGGTTTCGGGAGGGTCTCATGGGATTGTATCTGGTGGCACAGGGCTGGAGTGACCTAAACCCTCCTTTTAGGGGATGGGGGAATGTTTCAGCTGGAAGAACTAACTGGTCCTTTTCTGCCTGTCAGTTTCAAATGGTAATATGTGCCACCTCAAATTTTAATGCCTCGTTTCCAAATTCAAACTATAAGATAATAATTCGGATCATGATAAAAGGATATCATGTATATTAATTTTATAATGTTTCATTAGTTTTTATTATATCACACTAATAAAGGGTTCAGCACTGAGATTTTGGCGATACCACTTTCAATGCAACTTCAATTTCAGCAATATGCATAAACCCTACCACTTTGTTAACTAAACTTTGCTCATTTTGCTGCATTTTTTTGGTTCTAAATACACTCCTGCAATACATCTTGTAAAATGCTTTCTGAACATGCACATACAGGACCATGTACTAAACT